GAGCAACACCGCGGTGGGGTGACCGGCTGAAAGATTGTGCCCATTGTTTGGCGAGTTCACTTTGCGGGTAAAAGGAGCTCACTTTGATGTACGTCCTTCACCTGGCAATCCTTTGCTTCAGGTTTTGGAATTGAGTTTGCAGATTTATCCAGCTTCAGGTATGGTCGTAATGCTTGTTTGTCAGATAGCCGTTGGAAAACCCTTGTCAGCTGTCAATAGGCAAGCACCAGAACCTCCAGATGCAATCATTAAAAGGGCCTGTTTGCAACTTCCACAAAAAACAAACCCCATGTCGAACAGATGTGTTTTTTGCTTGACGGACGTGACCCAACGGCCCAAATGGGTCTAGCGACATTTGGAATTTGGAATGCGCCACTGAGGTGTTGTTGCGGTTGGTCGAACACACACACACAAGCTGAAATGCGGGTCTTTGGAATGGGCAGCTAATTCATTCGTCGGAAATCAGGAGAGTGTTCCCGATGCCAACTTGCATACCATTACGATTCTACCTGCACCGACCCCAATTCTCGGCGGTCACTGAGTCTTTCGCTTCAAATGTGTAAGTGGTTCCATCCAAAGCAACAGGGAATCGAGGTTCCAGGGGCGTTTATTTCAGAGCATGTCCACAATACAAGAGGTACAAAAGTACAAGGCGCAGCTGCACGTCTATCTTTGAGCGAGCTAATGCTTATGACAGCACAAGCTGACATCTGAAAGGTTAGAGAGCCCAGGCCAGCGATTCACGGCGGTTTCGCCTGAACCACGAAATGGTCCCTAGCTTGGGCACACACCAACGTGTTTCAAATAGACTTGTTGCTCCCACCCTTGCGTATTGAACAGCACATTTCCTGGGTCATGCGCGGCGCTTTTATGCTTGAAAGTACGTCACGCATGTCCATCGGATTCTGTCCCAGAACTGGTAGCTCGGTGCTGGGGCCTACATGCAGGCTTTGCATGCCACCAGTTCTTGCAAACAACCCCCAAGAAGGCTACCGACCGACCCCAAAACGACATCCATGAAGACATGGGTGGTTTAAGTTGGTTTCCTCCCGTTTTCCGCAGTTTCTCCTTTTAGGCAACCCGAACAAGAACGCCAACTCAAACCGAACAAGAACGCACCAACTCAAAAAAGGCAGACTCGCCCCGCCGCTCATGTCTCGCCCAGCGCTCAGGACTTGGCAGCTGCCGACCTGGGCGCGATGATCAGCGGAGAGGCAACGCCCACAATGGAGCAACGAGCTTTGGGAGGTGCCCTAGCTAGGTCCCCGAGTAGTGCCCTTTTCTCTGCTTTTTGGGGGGAGGGTTCCCCTACTAAAATAGATTACAGAAAAATGGGTACCCTTATAGCTGCCCTGGCTCTCAGGTCATCGTAGCTTGGGTCCTCGGGCAACCTGGCACCAGGCGACTCCCCTATGGGCGTCTGGCGTCTACCAAGGCGGGTACCCATTCCTGCCGGCCCTGTTTGGTGTCCTCGCGCCCCCCTTGGGCCCTGTTCTTTGGCTCTCTCCCTTCACTGCTTGGTGGCGTTTTTCTGCCCTACGTGCCGACCAATACTTTGTGGTGCTGTTGCTCTTCATTCCCGGTGGCCTTGGCGTTTCAGCCTTTCATTTTTTGGGGCGAACTTTGCAGGAACTTGCCTGTGTCGGCTCTGGTGCAGCTTGAGCGGAATCCATCGTGGAGCCCCGGGTCAGCGGTTCAGCCTTCAGTGGGCCACTCCTCTTGTGTGAAGTCTGCAGCAGGTTCCTCTGCATCATCGGGCAGTCCAAGAGTGGTTCAGTGCTGCAGCCGTCTTTCGCCCAGCAGAGGGAACACTGGAGGTTTGGCGACGGTTGCTCACAGTGTGACTGGTTGATCGGCGGTTTCACTAGTGCTCAGTTTTGTGATTGCAGGGCCTCGCAGCCCTTTTTGTTCGTTTAGGGATGGGGATGTTGCAATCTGACATGGGCTTTGGCCCGCTTTTCACGGCTTCGTGTGCCTCCTGGGCAGTGATGCGCTGGGTTCTGGCCTTTTGCCACAGTGCTCGGGTTTTTGTTGTTCTCGTTCCCCTTGCTGGAGTCACTTTGTTTGCAGGGGCAACCTGCCCCCTTGTCTATCGGTCCTGGGGCGGCATGTCCCTGTGACCAGCGTCTCACATTGACGAGGCGCCGTGCGCCCAAAGGGCACAATTATTCGAACCTCTCTACTGGAGGACCTAGCTAGGATTGTTCTCAAAATTCTGCACTGATCTAACAGAAGGTTCCCTAGATATGAGTCATTTGATGTTATTCTCACTTGGGATGGCTGCACGGCTGCACCCCAGTTCATTCAGAAATAATACCCTTTTGAGCAATAGGCCATTGCCATAGCTCAGGGTGAAAAACTACCCTTCGCTTGATTGACAAGTCATCTGCTGAGGAAATTTGGCACAAATACATTCTTGGTACCTGGTACCAGGTGGTTCGTTCTTTGCAACTTGCAGCATCCCAGAAATGGGCGCTGTGACCGAGAAAACGTGCAGGTTCCTCTCAAAGGGATCCCCAGATTTTCCTTCAGGTAGTATATTCTGCACCCAGACAGGCGCACATGAGGCATCCATGAAGGATCCTTTCATGGCGGTTTCCATCAATTCAAGCTGCTGATCTAGAGAATAGAATCTGGTCATTTTGATGACGATGACGAAAGCCCTGTGCTCGGGTATCTTCATCAGGTTTTGGAATGAGAGAACAAACTCGCATCACCGCATACTTTCTTGCCAGCTCGCCGATCCCCAACGAGCTCACCATGGTGACGATCCTTTACTTGGGGATCCAATTCATATTTTGCAGGGTAACATTCCAAAAAACACAAGCACAAACACAAAGCAAAGACCATGGTTTTAGACACATTGTGACATTTGCAGAGAACTTCCTGGTTCTGGCTGGGTTGACGACTCTCGCCGAAAAACCTCTTGCCAGGTGGCAACGGAGGCGAATCTGGGAGGGTCGGAACAAGGGCCCTGCCACAGAAAGGTTCGCGGAAGCATTATTAGAACTTGGCGGTTAGCCGTCCGGTTGCTCAGGTTTTGGGTTGTGTAGTTGGTTGAGTTGTACTTTTCACTGAACCAGCTGAAAGTAAAACTTTTAGCAGGGGATCTGAGGACAGCCAAGATAACCTCTTTCAAGAGGATTCTAAAAACTCGTAGCAGGTGGGCTCTCAGATTTTGCCCCTAGGTGGTTTGCAATCTTGGATCGTTTTGCGGTAAGGCTCTATTTTGTCCAGGGGGGGGCTTTGGTTTTGCGCAACAGTTTGTTGTCCCGACCCTTACGCTTCTGAGCGTTTGCATGATCTATTTGGTTGCTTCAATGCTAGCGGGAGGAAGTTGGTCAGATACTCCCTCAACGTGGTGTCCCCTGGTTTTTGGCTGCACGGTGCGACTTGTGACGGCCATGGGGATGTATCACATGCCATTCAAAACAACATTGGTGATCACCATTCCCCAACAGTACTCAAGGAGGAGACTTGAATTCTGCAGCCGGTAAACGGTAAACAGTTGTATATTCCCAATGGCCAGCACATCTCCCAGGAGCCGTGTATGTTTCGCTTGATTCCCGAGCCAAAATAGAGCAACCCAAGAAGTGTTGCTTTTCCCCACTAAATTATAGGTTTGTTTCGCGGCACACTTCGGCGAACGCAACCTTTTTCGAAGCAGCGGCTCCGGTCGGAAAAAATGGGGTCCTACGTCACCTGCAAAGCAGGAGACTGTGTCCCAAGCAGGTAACCCCAATGAGACCCCTGTGCAAGGTTGATACAAGGAATTCAAGGGCAGAGCAACGCAAAGTGGCAACACCATGGCAGCACAGGAGACAACAAGTGACAGGCCTTACTGTATGCAAGGCAAAGGCGCTTTGGGAGATTGGCTTGTAGGGGCCTGCGTTTCGATGGGTGATCCACAATGACTTTTGTTGAACAAAATCATCCCGGGCTAATTCGAAGGGATTGTACACACCGGTATCGCCCCGGGTTTCGTCAAGGGTGTTGAGGCAAGCAGGGGGTGGATTCTTGGCTGCTGAACGTACATGGGATCCAGACTCCATACGGGGTGGTTGCAGCGGTTGGGTGGCAAATCACCATCAATGTGTGTCACAAGCGGGGACATTTTATCCCCATTGCAGCATGCGTATAACTAGTTGATTGGTGGTGGGATGGACACACCCACATGTCTGCCTTTGGGATGGTTCAAACCTTTTCGGAAAGCCTCTGTTCAGTCAAGTCACTCTCCTTGTGGTGATCTTTGAGGGGGAAATATGTCGACACGTACATCTCTCGAATGAGTGCCTTCTTGGTTTCCCTTGGGAACAACACGAAAGGGGAGTCAAAAATCAGCCACAACGGGAAATCTCCTCGGATGTCCGGAGAAATCCAAACCCACAGTCGCTCATTTGGCCGCAGGTGCTGCACTGCTTCAACGACAGCGCTGTCGAAGGCAGAGAGATGGGTGTGTGCGGTTGGCGAGGGTCCCCTTTGTTTTTGTTACTTCGGGGCATTTGGGCGGAAAATACCAATTTACCTTCCTATTTGGAGACCGACCCAGATTGTGTCCTGTTTGAAGCACACATTGCACTCTGTGATGTGCGAGTCCAAGTTTGATTGGCACAGGGAATGAGCACATATGGGGATTCGTGTTTGGAATGGAAACCCTGACTTGAGCTCTGCCACGTCAGTTGCCATACCCCAAAGTGAAGGATCACCAGTCAAAGCGGGAACTACTAAGTATTTGAGGAAGCAACGATGCTACAATCCCGAAGTTTATCAATTGTTTGCAGGGTATTGCAAAGTCTGGGCTATCTACCCTGCCACCTAGAATATGCACCTGATAGTGGCCTCCCCGAATTGAACATCAGAAAGTGGTCTTCCAAGTTCCATCTTGAGCGACAGTGGCAGCTTGTTTGGGATTTCGGGTGTTCTGCATATCTACTTTGGCCAGTCTTCACTCCCCGCGGCCACGTGCTCCAGCGCCTTAGCCGGCCGGCGCCTGGGGCGCG